GGGAGCGGAGGAGGAGGCGAGCAGGAGGAAGAGAAAAGAAAGAGACGAAAGAAGAGAGTAGGGATATTTTTGGAATTTTTTTTAAAAAAAAAATGTCTATGGTATATACCTAATTTCCAGATAAGTTGTGTGTAGACACTGTAATTTCTCTATAATATAATAGGTTGTTTGTACTTATATAAATGTATATACATATAACTTTTAAATTTTTAATTTTAGTGGGGCCAAATATTTACATAGGATATGTATATATTTTTTTGTAAACTTGATAGGATATGTGTCTATATATACATTATTAATTTATAATTTAAATGATATCATATATTTACATATGACTTTTTATAAATATATTTCCTCGCTATCTACTTATTTGTGTCAGAAGTCAATTTGAAACTGAAACTATTTATTAACTTGTGGTGTTTTTTTTAATTGATCTAATATTAATTAATTTATAGAGTTTCTTAGTATCAATTTCACAAAATCATATATATTTCGGCCTACGTACGATATACAGTAAACCCGTTTTAAAATCTTTGCATCCGACAGCATGTACCTGTCCTCTATATTACATCATTTAACAATCCAAGTCCAAATCTTAAGACATAACATATATAACATAGAAGGAGGGGGGAGTTGGGAAATATCTCGGCTTACCAGAGCTTTTCACCAGGCGGAAGAGGGATCTATTCTCCTCGATAGTTGATAGGATCAAACTCCGAGCCGCCTCGTGGTCTACCCGTCGCCTCTCCGCAGCGGGAAAGCTAACTATGCTCAAATCGGTTCTATCGGCAATCCCAACATACTCAATGTCATGTTTCCAATTGCCAGTGGGTTTATGTGATCAGATTCAGGCAGCTCTAACTCGCTTCTGGTGGGATCACGACCCTACTGCAAGGAAGATGTGCTGGGTATCATGGGATTCTCTCGCCCAACATAAAGATTTAGGAGGCTTGGGTTTTCGGGATATTCAGGATTTCAACTCTGCAATGCTGGCAAAAAATTCGTGGCGCATTCTGACCTCTCCACAATGCCTTCTTGCACGCATCCTTCTAGGTAAGTATTGTCATAATTCCAACTTCCGAGAAGCGTCCTGCCCCACTTCATCGTCACATGGTTGGAGAGGAATTGTGACGGGATTCCAGGTGATCAAACTACAACTAGGAAAAGCAATTGGCAATGGGAATACTACAAAGGTATGGACAGATTCATGGATTTCCACTTCCAGTCAAGCTGTTGTTTTTGGGCCTCCGACAGAGGCTACTAGAGACCTCTTCGTCTCTGATCTCTTGATAAGAGGTACTGGAGAATGGAATCATATCCTGGTTGAATCCATCTTGCCGAGCTTAGCGAAGCAAATATATCTTATCCAACCGAGCCTGTTAAATACAGAGGACTCTTTTGTTTGGTATAAAACAAGATCGGGTATCTACAGCGTCAAGTCTGGATACTACGCCTTAAGAGAAGCCACCAGTAAACAACAGGTACACCAGCCTCATGCACAGATGTTTAAGTGGAAGAAGTTTATTTGGCAAGAGGAAACAGCTCCAAAACTGAAGTTGTTTCTCTGGAAGATGGCTCGTGGCGCTCTCCCGCTGGGAGCAAATCTGCGACGACATGGTATTAACACGGAGGGAGCGTGCCCTCACTGCAAAGAAGAGGAAACAGCAATACACCTCTTCTTCAAATGCCCCTTCGCTCAGCAAGTATGGGATCGGGTCCCTCTACGATCCCGACCAGACTTCTCCGACATCACATCACTCCATGACGCCTTTGTGGTTATGTCGACAAGTCTCACTCTACCACCAACTGGATTGTCCAGCAACTTCACCTCTTGGATCCTATGGAGTATTTGGATCACGCGGAACCTATTGGTATTCGAAAACAGGAATGTATCAGCAAAGGTAACGATCGAAAAAGCTATTATCTCTGCACGAGAATGGCTGCAAGCACAGGGTTTTGGACTCACCTCGAATCAGACTGGCCATCACGACCGAGAACTCCCACCTATCCGTCCAGATACTACGCTATGTAACTCTGATGCTGCCTGGTCCTCTGAAACTCTTAAGGCAGGATTGGGATGGGTTTTTGACAATGCAGGTCTAGCTCTTACTAAGGAAAACTCTCGAGTGATCGAACACGTTTCATCCCCCCTCATGGCGGAAGCGCTGGCCATGAGGGAAGCAGTGCTGGAGGCTAAGCGCACAAACCTTCACAACGTCTGGTTTAGAACCGACTCTCAGGAGCTCGCTAGAGCTATCAACTCGAAGTCATATCCGGTGGAGCTTTTTGGAGTTCTCATGGATATCGAGTCTTTATCGTTTTCTTTCACTTCTTTCTCTGTTTCCTTTGTTGGGCGTCAATACAATGTGAAAGCTGACTACATTGCGAAATCAGCTCTTCACAACTATTCCTCGCTCTTGTAATGACTTCCG